TGTGTGTGTGTGTGTGTGTGTGTGTGTGTGTGTGTGTGTGTGTGTGTGTGTATGTGTGTGTGTATGTGTGTGTGTTTTCTTTTCTTTACACCGCATCGTCATCAGTATAACAAACAGGCATAAAAATGTAATAGTATTATATTTTTGCAGGATGTAAATCCCCATTCAGTTTTTTTTTCAATTACACGTGTAGTATGTCGAGGGTTTATTTTTACGTCTTTGTATAATTCACACTTTTCTTAATCACACCTTTTTCTTTTTTTTTTAAATTTCAGAGCCCTGATGAAAATTTCGACTGAATGAGAAAAAAAATAAAAAAAATAACGTAGCAAATTGAGTCAGAAAGTGTCATAAACAGATTCATAATTTCCTCTCCCGAAATTTATTACTGGACTGACTCTCAGTCACGTTGCTGAACACTCTGAAACGTAATTGCTGACCCAGCTGAAGCATTCACGCAATAATCAGTGACGTCAGGCTTACGTAGTCCGCACCACTCAAGACCCACCACCGGGACAGTCCCTGCCTGTAACAGATAGAACAGAGTGCCCGTGACGTCACAATGTCCTGGGAAGACTTCATCTCCCACGTCCTGGCGACCACCAGCAAAGTGGACAAGATGGTCATCTACGATCTGAAGGGGCGGCCGGTGGCTGTCACGGAGGACATGGAGGTACATGACAATGTATATGTTAGGCATCGTGATGAAATCAGGCGCTCGTCAAAATTATGAAATCAAAGAAGTCTGCATTTTTATGGCCGTTAGGTAATGCTTTTCAAATTTTCAAATTTTCTTCTTTTTTTTTTTTTAACTCAACACCTTTTTATGCCCATTTAAAAACGCATTTATTAGTGGATTTTACTAAAAACGTTGATCAAAAGCACAAAAATATATAAATTTGCAGTTTCCAAAGACTCTCAAGCTTTAGAAGTAACCAAACTGTGGCAGCCATTTTCTCGCTAATTTTGCCTCTCAAACCAGGCGACCTCACCTTCAATTGCATATAATAATATTTCGACTTCTATTCAAGATAGATGGGTGTTTTCTTCGTCGAAAGCAAGACAAATGAACTAGCTTAAGATAATATAAATAGCTCCACTTGCCAAAAATTGACGAGCGCTTGATTCCACCACGTCATGACACATATTATTCGCTATCTCAGAATTACAAAGTTCTATCTGCTCAGTACCTAGTTTTTTTAAAGAAATATGACGTCAAAAATGTTGAGCTTCACAATATTATTTCAAGTTTTTTTTCGAATGCAGTTCTTTGAATATCTTGAGAACGACTCAGAATAATCTTAAGATTTTGATAGAGTAGATAAAGCATTTGATTTCTGATCTCTTTGTCTCAGTTACTCAAAGAGGTAAAAAATGTCAGATACAAGTTTGTAATTCTGTGGCTGCGTATTATTTTATTGTCGTAGTTGTTGTTCTGTTAGAAAGACGTATTTTTCTTATACTGAATAAAGACCACCAACATTTTCAGTTTTGTAATACAACAGCCCCCCTCCCAATCCATTTCCCTCTCTCCTGACCCGATTGTCTGTCTGTCTGTCTGTCTGTCTGTCTGTCTGTCTGTCTGTCTGTCTGTCTGTCTGTCTGTCTCTCTCTCT